GGCAAGGACTGTTGAGTGCTGGCTGGTCTTTGATTAAAATTAGTTGTCCTTCTTGAGCTCTTTGAACACCATAAGCCATTAGAACTGGTATTAGGTCATGGGTCTTGTAGTATTATATACCCTGACTTCCCTTAGAGGGTGTTTGTCCATGTGACATACTACTTACTCACTTGACAGAGGTCAGCCTTTAGCTTTTTGAGTTAAATATAAATTTTCAGGATCTAATGTGTCTCCTGAGAGGATTATTAAACATAATACGTAACCTCTCACCAATTTAGAGTGCCACCGTTAATAAGTAGTCTTGGTGGTACTGTCTGGTAAATGCTAGAATCCTGCTAACCACAGGTCAGCATTTCAAACCCACTAGCCTCTCCACTGGAGAAGGATACCCTCATCATCTTTTGCTTCCAGCCCAGAAATAAAGATTTCCAGCCCAGAAATCTGATAGGGTCTCATTGAGTTAGAAACGGCTCAATGGGGAAAGAGTTGACGCTATCCTTCTTCCATGATAGCATGGCATAATAGATTACGCATTGAGCTTTCAACCACTAAGTCACCAGTTTGAATCTGCTTCTCAGAGGAGAGATGACATTTTCTGCTTCCATAAAAATTTAAGCCCTTCAAAACCCACACAGGCAATTCTGATCACAGGGTTGCTATGCAACCATCAGAATTGGTTTAATGGCAGTGAGTTTGGAGTTTGTCTTGATTCTACTTCTGCAAAGATTTATGGCCTCAGAAACTTGATAGCAGTGAGATTTGGGGGCTATTAGGAAAAAGACTTAAAATAATGTAGAGATGTATTTGTAAGTATTTTGAGTAGTGTTAATGAATATGAAATACATGTTTTCAGGCACCTCGTGCTAAAATGAACCAACAGCGCTCGAGGAGGTTCAGAGCATCAAAAGAAGGAATGGAAGCAGCAGTTGAAAAGGAGCGAGTCAGGGAAGAAATATTGGCCAAAGGTAAAGTAGTTATGCTTTGTAAAAAAAAGTATTTAGAAGGTGAGGAGACTAGGGTTTGGGGTGGAGAGCAGCTATCCTATATGCCACAGTGTAGTCAGTGTAGGCTTTCATTTACAATAAATTTTGTGTTTTAATTTGCTGCCATGTGCAAGTACCAGGGGAAATAAAAAAGTATTGTTATAGCACAGTGGTTCTCAACCTTCCTAATGCCGTGACCCTTTAATACAGTTCCTCATGTGGTGGTCACCCCCAACCATAACATTATTTTCGTTGCTACTTCATAACTGAAATTTTGCTACTGTTAGGAATTGCAATATAAATATCTGATATGTAGGATGTATTTTCATTGTTACAAATTGAACATAATTAAAACATTGTGATTAATCACAAAAACTGTAATTATATATTGTGAAATATTTATTTCTAATTACAAATAAATGTCTTGAAGCATGTTGTAGCATTGGTAACAGTCTTAATATAACAACAGTATACTGCATTGCTACATTTTGCTACAGTATGTGTAAAAAGCCATCATCAGTGCAAGGTTGAGTTGGCTTCTTTCTCACCAGATCAGCATACCTGCATGTGGGTGGACCTGCCTAAAGACTAATAGAGGAGCGGTGTCTGGCTTCCTAAGGGAAATATGTGTTTTCTGATGGTCTTAGGTGACCCATGGAAAACGGTATTCGTCTCCCAAAGGGGTTGCGACCCACAGGTTGAGAACCGCTGTTAGAGCATAATACAAACCTTTATTAAATTGAAATATCAAAATGTAAATTTACTTTTTTCTAAAATCCTCCATCTAAGTATATTATTCTGAGGATGATGATGTCTCCCTCTCTAATTCTTTCCCAAAGAATTGTATACTTTTCAGTGTACACATCAAAATGGTAGCTTTGCTATCTTTGAGGGACTCAACTCATGTTCTTTTTGAGTATGGAAAACAAAAAGAAGCTTGAAGGGGCAAGATCCAGAGCTGTAGCGTGGATTGGGTAGGGTTTCCAGTGAAATTATCACAAGGCAGCCTTTACTTTCCTGAAGAATGAGCAGGCGGATTGTCATTGTAGAAAAAAAATGCCTTGGCATAAATTTCCTGTTCTTTTTCCTCACCAATGCAGTTTTAAATTTTCTTGCTTGTGAGATGACCTCCCCACCTTAAATTCATCTTTAGATCTTCCTGACCTTAAAGCACTTGCTCTATCTAGAAAACTCTCATTTTATATGAGGTAGCATTTCTATAAATTGGTTTCAGTGATTTAGCCGAATGCTTAATTGAGGTTTGTTATCAATTTTATATTAGCCCTGTTTTTAAAATTACATTTTTTATAAAGAAGATATTTTCATGAGACTGAGACAAATGTGTGTCTGAGAGAACTTGTTTCAACCATTCACTGAATGGCAGAGAGATGTTTAACATAATTTGTTTGGAATAAATCAAGGCACTAATGAACTGGAACCCTAGTAGTGATACTTTCTGGTGTACCCTTTACTTTAATCTCAGCTTGTAATTAAGATTCTAACATTGTTTATATTTGTAATACAAGGTCTTTGATTTTAAGAATTCTCTTTTGAAGGTTTGTAAAAAATACTTTTCTCTTAAGAAGCTAATTAATTAGTGATAAAAGGGGAAAATGGATTTTTGTGTCCTCTTAGGTGAAAATTTTTTGTCTTGTGATATCTGTTTGATTAATGTCATATTTCTTTTTTAAAAATTCATTTTATTGGGGTCTCACAGATAATCATAAATCAGTTATAGCAAGCAAACTTTTACATATGTTGTCATTGCCATTTTCAAAACAGTATCATTTTTCTAAGGTACTTTTATCTTAACAACTATAAATTCTCCAACCCATATGTGGGGTGTGTGTGTGTGTGTGTGTGTGTGTGTGTGTGTGTGTGTGTGTGCTGCTACAGAGATTATTAGGAAGAATACCATAAGTTTTATATTCTTAATATAATATAAGTTTTATATTCTTAATGTAAATTGTACCTTTTGTATGCTACATGTTTTTAAAAATTCTTGCTAAAGAATTATTTACGTCTCAAAAGAAGAAGCATCGTTCTTCAGGCACCAACATTTCGTTCATATTTTAACTTTTGTTGTTTCTCTAGCTTAATATTGAGCATTCTGCCTCAATTTCATGGGGAGAACAAAACATTGCCTTTTTTTCTCCAGGTGGCTTTCTTCCTCCAGAAGAAATAAAAGAAAGATTTGACAGTAACTGCATTACACCAGTAAGTAGCCTCTTATTGTGCTAGACCTTGCTAACTTTAAATAATAGATTAATTTATTTCTTTTTATCATTTTAGGGAACTGAGTTCATGGACAATCTTGCTAAATGTCTTCGCTATTACATAGCTGACCGTTTAAATAATGACCCTGGGTGGAAAAATTTGACAGTAAGTTTCACATTTTGGTGCTTTGAAAAGATTAGGGTGGTCATTTGAGGCTGTACTCTGAGATGACTGGTCAGTATTTATCTTTCTTTACCCCCATATAATACTAGCTGACTGATAATAGAGAAGCTTCTGAGGTTTTTGGAAATGGGGTATCTTATGTGGCTAGGTTTTAAGTATCAGTGACAGCTGAATTTTCTCTTATACCAGTTTTGTCCTTACACTTAAAACTATGAAGCCATAAGATGGAATTGATATTGTAAAAATTTTATATTTTACAAAGTAATATTAAATGAAAATATCTGGTGTTAGAAATCAGTATAGCATGATTAGAGCTATGGGGTAGTATATATATTTTAAATGTATGCTGCAATAGTATTTAAGTGTAATTTAAATGAACTAGAATGTAATTTTTGATTCATGGTTTTCTATTAATTAGATATAGTAATTGTATTTAATGGCTATCTTTTATCTGTTACGAGGCTTATATGATTGAATTCATGTTGGGTAAGATCAAGAATTGTGAAATTTGTGAATTGATTAATTTCACTAATGCCTAACCCAGGCATTTTACTTTTTTCCCTTCCATTTTGTAAATAAATGAAATAGCTGTGGTGTGTAACACTCATATGTTCACACATACTTTATTCAAAAAAATTTCCATTTACTAACTCAATCTTAATAGAATTACCTCATTAATTCATTTTTTCCCCCTGTAAATCCAGGCTTTTATTCATGCCATCTCACAGATAGAAGGAGGGGGCCACTGAGGCACAGCCACTGTCTGCCTCCAACCCCTGATGGTGTTGGGCTGGGGTCATTAATTCATTTTAAAAATAAACTAAACTCATTGCTGTTGAGTTTAGGCTGACTTGTAGCTACCCGATAGGACAGTAGAATTGGGCCTGTGAGCTTATGAGACTGTAACTCTTTGGAAAAAAAACCAAAAAGCTTAAAAAACAATTTTTTAATAAATCATTTTATTGGGGGCGTACAGCTCTTTTTTTTCCTTATAGCTCTTGTAACAATCCGTACATCAATTGTATCAAGCACATTTGTACATAAGTTGCCATCATCATTTCCAAAACATTTTCTTTCTACTTGAGCCCTCTTTTTTCCCCTCCCTCCCCCACCTTCCCAACCTTCCCACTAAACCCTTGGTAATTTATTTTTTTTATTTTCATATTTTGTACTGTCTGCTGAGACTGTAACTCTCTGTGGGAGTGGAAAGCCCTTTTTTTTTCCCCATGGAGCAGCTGGAGGTTCGAACTGCTGATTTGTTAGTATCCCAACATGTAATCAGTACTGCCACCAGGGCTCCTGCAATTTATTTTAAGATATTCAATTATGTTGATTTTGTGCTTATGCAAAATGAAAGATGAGCTGAAAGCGTTTTAAAAAAATGTTTTTTACAGGTTATTTTATCTGATGCGAGTGCTCCTGGTGAAGGAGAACATAAAATCATGGATTATATTAGAAGACAAAGAGGTAAACATTACTTGTACATGCGTGATTCTAAGCTCTGCTGAAAGAAGTAAAAAGCCATTGAGTAGGAAGTATTTGGTAGGATTTGAACATTCTGTGGAATATTAATTCCTTTTTCCTTCCCCTACTCTATTTAGCCCAGCCTAACCACGACCCAAATACTCACCATTGTTTATGTGGAGCAGATGGTAAGCTTTTTCTGTGGGGATTTGGTTCTCTGAGATTAAATCATGGAAAGCTTGTTGGGTTGGTTTCTAGTAACAGTTGCTTGGAAATTCCAAAATTATATACGTCATTATGTTTTGAGAAGGGAGTAATACTGACTTGATGTTTGGTTTGTGTGATTAATGCTCCCTTGTCTTTAAATTTTTTTTTCTTTACAATTTTAATGTAGCTGTATATACATGTATACTTATACCTTTAAAATGGAATATTTTCCAATTGTTTTCTCATGAATGGTAGTCATCTGGATATTAAGTTGTTGATTGACACCTCTGAGAAGTTTTAGGCTTTTTTACTTTGCCTCTTCAGTTTGTTTGCTCATTTGGGCCTTTCATTGAGTTGTTCTTTTCATTCATTGAGTACTTTGGTTAAGTACTCAGAAGTCCTTATTTAATTCGTTGTTTTTGATTAATAGCCGACCTGATTATGCTTGGCCTTGCTACACATGAACCCAACTTTACTATTATTAGAGAAGAATTCAAGCCAAACAAACCCAAACCATGTGGTCTTTGTAATCAGTTTGGACATGAAGTCAAGGACTGTGAAGGTTTGCCAAGAGAAAAGAAAGGAAAGGTAAGAACTTTCAGGCGGTAGTTGCCCCATTTTAAAAATGGGAAGTAGGGAAGGCTATGGTTGATTCAGTATTCTTTTTGCCTTCTTGTTTTGTTAACCTTCAGAATGCGAGAGCACTTAATCGTTTATCCATTTTACCCTTAGTCGTTCTACGTTTGAGTGATTTATCACATCAGATCACACCACGAGGAATTATATAACTGCCAAACCAGAGAATCGTGGACCAGGCATTGTGCATATTTGGTTGTGGTGTTGATGGGGATGGGGAAGGGGGACAGTTTACAAATCAGCCCATGGAATCTTACCCCTTTGTGGCCCAAAATTCATTTTCTTGTCATATGCAGAACACTTTCACCCCATCCTATCATTCCCAAAGTCTTTCAAGTCCAAATTATATAACGTATGGCAAAATTCCTCTTCATCTGATTGAATAGTCATAGGACAACATTTTCACTACAAATATTGAGGAATTTAAGGATAAATAACAGGCACCGAGCCAGTTAAAAAAATCATTGTTCTTTCAAAGTTTGAAAACAATCCTCTGTTGTACAGGATCCAGGCTGCTCCCCAGACTCTGGGTTAGGCCAGAGTTAGAATGACAACTCTGCTCCCTCAGCATTTGGTGACACTATTCTTCGAATGCAACCAAGTGGTTACCATATTCTTAGAGCCCTCACATCTTTGGCAGCCTCACACTCTTGAAGTCAGTTGGCAGAAGATTTGACTCTTTGAAACCTAGGAAACTGTGACACCTACCCCTAGAAGCTCCAGAAGCTGTGGTTCCACACTTTGAAGGCCCAGAAGTGTTAGCGCTCGCTTTTCATACCAGGCAGCTCTCCTTTCCATGCTCCAATTTCTGATTCCTAGGTCCAGCCTGGCCTTTGCCTTTTACAAACAAGTTTTTAAAAGCTCTCTAGCTCTTCTAGCAAATACCTAAAGGCACTTACTCTGCCAGTAAGCCTCAGCCCTAAGGTGCTCAACTTTCGGTGGATTACCTCCTTTACTATTCTTGCACTGCTCTCCCAATTCTGCTGCTGCCTTACTGTTCACTGTGTTGCCCTTGCCTTCAGTGTTACAACTCCCGTTACTTCTGATCTCTCAACCAGAATTGCTTTTAATATTCGGTTCCACCAACAATTTGTTCAAAGCAATCTAGACTTTTACTAATAGTATCTTAGTACTCTTGGAGCCTCTACTTACTATCCAATTCCAGAACATGTCCATGAGAACAGCACCCCACCCTTCCGGTATCAAGTTTTGTCTTACGTATCAAGTGTAGCTATAATAGAAATGTCACAAGTGGGTGACTTCAACAAACACATTTTTCTCTTAGTTTGGGAGGTTAGAAGTTTAAATTCAGAATACTGGCTGTAGGGGGAGGGTTTTTCTTTACATCAGCTCTGGAGTAAGATCTTTATCTACTTTCAGCATTTGTGGTGCAGCATTTCTTGGAGATTTTTGTGTGTCTTGGCATCAATCTTACCCTGGATGTGGTAGTTTCTCAGTGCAGGGACCCCAGATCCAAAAATGCACTTTATTCTGGGCTCTTGTTGCTTGGTAGTAGTAGGTCCTAATAATCTGTTTCTTTCTCTTTCTTTTTATCTTTTGTAAAAAAGAAGGTATTTGGGACCACACTCCAGGTACATCAGGGCTGTGAAAGGATACTGCCTTCTTTCTGCCCTTATGGCTTCTGGAATGAAATCACACTATGGGAATCCGCTACCACATTACATCATGATATGACTAACTGCCAAACCAGAGAATCATGGTCCACCCAAGGTAGCACATGATTTGGGATGACACAGTTTGATCCATGGCATCCTCCTTCAAAAGCATACACAGCATTTTTCTCTGTGTTTGTTTTTTACATTGTTTTTCCTAACATAATTTATGTGAAACTTAGGTCTTACTGGTAATACTTATTGAATGTGATTTTTTTGTAGAAGTTATTTGTTTCAAATGATTATTCTTTAGAAAAGGAACTATATATTAAATATATTAATCTTCATACTGTAAAATTACGCCCTGATCACATGGAAATGTTTAAAGCATATATATCCTATATTGGCTGGATACAGGTCAGAGATTGGTAAACTACAGCTCTATAGATTTGGCCTTTGAGCTGAAAATGGGCTTTATATTTTTAAAGGGTTGTTAAAAAGCTAACGCATAGCAAACTCTTGCTGCATAGTAAGAAACTATGTTGTTCCAAAGACTAATTTCTTTACCATTTCTTTACCCCACCCCCCATCAATAGTCAGGAGAGGGCAGCTCTCAGCTTGAATGCTGGAGGGGGAGGGAAGAGCTCACGTCTCCCCAGGTGTGCACAGGAGGGTGTGGATGGTTACAAAACACAGCTTCTGTGGTTGAGAAGCTATGTCTTCAAAGAGGCCTTGCTAATGGTATTTAAACTAGTGTTTAAGCAAAAAAACGAATGATACCTGCTTCTTGTTTTTAAGGACTGGGGGGAGAAGCTGGGGGAGAGGGTGGGAGGACCCGTATGGTAACCGCAGAGCACTCGTTCTAGTGAGGTCACTGTGTTTAACGGGTGCTTGTTGCAGCCGGGTGACTTGTTTTCCAGAGAGGCTGCATTAACGATCTCTAAGTGTTCCAGTATGGGAGGTAGCCCCAATTGCTGATGAGAAACAGATTGACGGGAAGGAATTAAACAATGAAAGAGCAACATTGGGGTGATTGTCAGGGTCTAAGTCAATGTCAGGGCGATCATGTCAAGGTCCTTATCAGGGAGGCACGTCCCTTTACAGAAACCTGTTTACACCAGCTATATGTGATTAGGATTATGAGTACTTTTTATTTTAAAGTGCTTTGGTGAATTCTGTATAATACTTATAATATTAAAATGAATCTTGCCTTAGTAAAAAAAAAACAAAAAAACCTTAAAAATAGTTAGATTGGGACCAAAAAATGGAGGGCTTATAGTGTTCTTGTGTAATCATCCTCCGTTTCTTGCAGCATGATGAACTTGCAGATAGCCTTCCTTGTGCAGAAGGAGAGTTTATCTTTCTTCGACTTAATGTTCTTCGTGAGGTATGCAGAAATAATCATTGAGATGAGCATTCTAAGGTAGGGTGCCTTTTGATGTGTGTCACAGCAATATTCCTTTTTGATTTTAGTATTTGGAAAGAGAACTCACCATGGCCAGTCTGCCGTTCACATTTGATGTTGAGAGGAGCATTGATGATTGGGTCTTCATGTGCTTCTTTGTGGGAAATGACTTCCTTCCTCACTTGCCATCTTTAGAGATTAGGTATATATATGTGTGTATAGTTTGTCAAGCCATTCTGCTAGCTTTGCTGACTTTATAATGCATACTGGTACTAATGCATAGTTTCTCTCTTAATGACAGGGAAGGTGCAATTGACCGTTTGGTTAACATATATAAAAATGTGGTGCACAAGACGGGGGTAGGTACATTCTTGTATAACTTGCAAACAGCAATGTTTGCTTTAATAAAACAATCATTTTACATGTATTTTGTTCACTTGTAGGGGTACCTTACAGAAAGTGGCTATGTCAATTTGCAAAGAGTACAGATGATCATGCTAGCAGTTGGTGAAGTTGAGGATAGCATTTTTAAAAAAAGAAAGGATGATGAGGTAAGATGTTTCTATTGCAATAAATAAAATTGTATCCATTTCTTATAGGTTATTATCATTCTGTGATTGTACCTTAACTTCGTTGAATGTATTATTCTCTTAGAGTGTACTAAACATTAATGTAATTGTGAGTGGCTAGTACTTTAGGTTTTTAAAGTTGTGATGCTTTTTAAAGTTGTGATGGTTCAAATCCCCCTGGTAGCCTCTTTGCAAGTGTGATGTGGAATTGTTGCCTGTTTTACATTATTTGAATTGCATTATAACTTTTTTCTCTCTCTAATCTTGATTAGGATACACATTTAAATACCTGTGCAATCAATGTGATATGACGTTGAGGATTCTAGGGGTAGAAGAGTGTTGGGATTGAACTAGTGGTGTCATGTTTTATATGAGATACTTACACTATAACTCTGACATAGGCACAGGATGAAATTGCTTCAGCCAGGACAGAGGGATGTAACTCTGAGTAAGAAATTAAAATCTAAAAATTCAAACCAAATTCACTGCCATGGACTTATAGCAACTCTGTGAGAGAAGAGAACTACCCTTGTTAGTTTCAGACACTAACTTTTCACGGGAGTAGAAAAATCCTGTTATTTTCCCTAGGTATTCCTAGCACTTTCGCTGGTGGTTTTGGACTATTGACCTTGCACTTAGCAGCCCAATGCACAGCCTCTATGCCACCAGAGCTCTTATTTAAAGCTTAAAAGGAGGAGCAAAAATAACAGAATACTTGGTAATTATTTACAAGAGATGAGCATGTAGATGAGAAGTCTAAATTTCTGTCTTAGACAGTTGGGATTTCACTGGTGTCATTCACTGAGTTAACAAGCATTGGAGGGAGGAACAGGTTGGAATGAGGACAGGGTAGGAATTGAATTCATTTAGAGATGTGAATTTGAGGGTCTAGAACACCTGAAAATAGAAATGTCCATTATGTATTTGAGTGGATGTTTTAAAACTTAGGGCATAGTGTATGGAAAGAGATTTGAAGATCATTAATAGTTCTGAGGTATTTGAAGTCATAAGAGTGACCACAGAGGCCCTCAGAAGAAGCCTTGAATGCAGGCATTTAATGACCTGAGAAAGGAACTGGCTCCTAAACAGGGAGGAAATTAGTAACTCAAGGAGGTGCCATTGGCACACAATGCTGCCTGAGACATCAGAACCAGATGGACGGACAACTCATGCACACAGTCTAGTGCAGTCTTTAGTGAACTCTACTGATAGAGTGGAGAGGCAGCAGGCTAGAGGTTGGCTGCAGGTGTTGCCAGGAATCCGAGTAATGGGCAAAATGAGCACATTTTTGTTTTTGGGAAGTAATGAGAAATATTTTCAGAAACTGATCTTATTGTGGCTATTTTAAACAAAATGAAACAAAACAGATTGCTACGTTATTACATGATCTGACAGATGAAAACATCATTGATCTGACAAATAGTGGGTGATCCTTTTTCCCAGTTGGCACCATTTCTTGTGACAAAATGAGGTAACTAAGCATTCTTTCCAGAAGCTTTCAGTACTTAGCATTCATATGACTTTAGCAGACTCAGTATCATTAAATAAGGAGCCCTGGTGGTGCTGTGGGTTAGACATTTGACTGTTAACTGTAAGATCTATGGTTCAAATCCCCCTGGTAGCCTCTTTGCAAGTGAGAGATGATGCTCTCTGTTCCTGTAAGATTTAGTCTCAAAAACTCCATGCCAGCACTCTGTCCTATAGGATAGCTATACATCACAATCAACTCAGTGCCATTGGATGCTGGGTACTATTAAACTGGTGGTACTTGACATTAGAGGGGATGTATAGGATTTATATAGGTACGTTAGTGCTATCGATTTCATTAATATGGTTTCCATCTGGCCTGGGAGAGAAGACAAAGGATTTTCCAAAGGAGTTCATAGCCCCCAAATGATTAAAGATCAGTAAAATCTATCCAGGTGGTGCCCCTGTGTATTTGTGAATATCATCCTTAGAAATAGGTATTTAGCAGATAGGTTATGGCAGAACAGGTGGTAGAAAAGAGTCCACCTATCTTTATTATTATAATAGAGTAAAAACAAAGGCAGAAATCTGATGTTTTTATTTTGTGAACTTTGATGTTTGTCTTTTATCTTGTAAATGCTGTTTACTCACCCCACAGATATTTATTGTTTACTGCATGTCACTAAGTGTTCTGAGAACTAGTGACAGAATAAAGCCCACAATGAGAGGGGTGGGGACAGTGAGGGAAATTCCTGTGTCCTGGAGCTTACGTTCACTTTGGGAAAATGGAAATAAACTATGTAATGTGCTAGAGAGTGACAAGTGCCTGAAGGAAATTAGAGCAGGGTAGGAGCTTGCATTTGGGAAGGTGGAGGTAAGGATGAGTGAAGGTGACCAGGAATGACCTACCTGAGAGATGACATTGGATTAAAGAACTGAAAAATGAAGGAGTAAACCATGTGCAAAGACTGACTCAAAGGTAGACACGCACCCAGCATGTTGACAGATCAGCAAGGACCCAGTGTGGTGGAGACAGAGGAAGGAAGGAGGAAGTAAAAATGGTGGAGGCTTACATCTGGTAGGACTTTAGAGGTCATTTTAAGAATGTTAGCTTCATTCTGCATGAATAGGGAGTTCTTAGTAGAAGAGTAACTCAATCTGGCACATTTTTAAAAGATAATTCTAGCTGTAATATTGAGACTGACTACAGGGGACTCAAGTGGCAGCAGTGGAGATCATACAAGGGAATTGAATTTTGAACATGTTTTGACAGAGGCAATGAGATTGACTACTGGATTAAATGTGGGATGTGAGAGGGGGAGATACTCAGTGGAGAAACTGAATGGGAAAAGGTCCTGGTTGAAGAATCATCAGCATGGACATGTTTAAAGTCTGGACCTAGGTAATCACCCCCACCAGGAGTAAAGGAGTGGGAAGCTTCTAATGTTGAGTCATGGGAGGTAGGAGATGCCAGTATGAAGAATTGAATTGTGAAGACGTGGCAAGAGTGGAGGTAGAAAACAGAAGGGATTGGTGTCCTGCGGGCCAAGTGAAGAGTCATGGTTAGGTAAATATTGTAAATTAGCTGTTGAATTTCAAATCTAGAAGTCACTGTTAGCCTAGATAGGTTTCGATGACAATCTGTGCAAAGACTTGATTAAAGAAGTAGGTTGTTTACATAGTGTCATACGTTTTAGGGTAACCTATCTGGGCTCCACCTCAGAGAAGCAGACTTTATATCCAGCTTTCAGCCCATCTGGCAGAAAGCACACATTTCAATCTTGTTATGTTATGTTACTGCAATTGGTAGTTCTAATTTGGAGGGGATAGAGGTGTACACTAGTGGGGTAGCTGCACAATACTTGCAGCCACCCTAACTGTCATGCCATTCATTGCCTTGCTGTGTAGGGAAACTTGACCAATAGAAAAATGCTTTCTTTGGCAAGGGAGGCCTTTCAGTGGCACATAGAGTTAATGGGGAGTAAAATCAACCCCAAATCCTATCCAGTTGAATCCATGACTGCAATTGCAAAGTGTGTGGAAAGGAAGAATTAACGCTGATTGGACTCTCTCCCATGAGTTAAATAGATCTAGAATACGTGGTGCACCGATCTGAATTCCCTTCTTCCATTAGTTTACTTTTCAGAAGATGAGTAGTGTTTGCATAGAGACATGCATCCTTCAGATGTCACGCATGCTACAAAGAGTTAGGAAATGCCCAAGTTTTTTTTTTAGATTAAACTCAAACTCATTGCCATCTAATCAATTCTGACAAAAAGACCCTATCGGGACAGAAAAGGACTGTCCCTGTGTGTTTCTGAGACTACAAAGAGTCCACAAAACAGAAGTTTGGGGGGATTACAAAGCCTCATTTTTCTCCTGAGGAGAGATTAGTGGTTCCGAACTGCTAACCCTGAAGTTAGCAGCCCAAAATGTAACCTACTACAGTAGCAAAGGTCCACTGTTTTTAAATTACAGTTTTGTTATTAAACTGCCTTGTTGGTAAAACATTCAGATAAAACTTAAGAATCGTTTGTTTCCTTGCTTTTTTGTATCTTCTCCATATTAACAATGTATTTGTTTACCTATTTGCTCCTTCAGAATGTCATAGTTTTTGAACTTTTTTACTGAAATGTCAAAAATTATTTGAAAATTCGTAAAAGTTAAATGATAGCTAAACATAAGCTAGAGTTCTCTCTAGCCATTTAAAGTTCTGATAAACAGCATTTGGAACACTCTAATTTAATCATGTAGCTAATCTTGTATCTTTCTTTAAAACTTAAATTATATTTTAAGTTTTTCCTGGTAATATTGAACTCCAACATTTGTGTAACAGAATATGTAAACTTTATACTTTTAGGACAGTTTTAGAAGACGACAAAAAGAAAAAAGAAAAAGAATGAAGGTTAGTAAATTTCATAAGATTGGCAGTAATATACATTTATAATTTTGGAGAAAGCTATTCCTTACAGGAATTCCTCAGGAGGAATTGTCAAGGACATAAGTTTCCACCTGGCTTCGCTGCTTACCTGGAGAAACAAGAACAGGAGGTGGAGGTGGCACTTAGCTATTTGAATTTTAACAGGAATTAGGTATTTTTTTTAATTTGGTATTTTCATAATAAAAACAGTCAACCTGTTGTATTGCAATGAAAGTTATTATATTCTGTCTTTACTTCTACATCTTTGGTTTATCGTCCCAGACCCTATGACACTATAAAATTTGTTGTTTCTCTGGTCTGAAGTCATCACTGACACCTTATATCTGCAACACTAAGTTCTCTAACTTGGTGAAGTTCAGAATGCATTATGTTGTGCTCCTCTTCCAACCTTCTTCATTCCTGCTGTTTTCTAAATACATCACGTCCCTTCTGACTCAGAAGTTTACCTTTGTTTGCTGTGCTCCCAATCGTTACAATTCACCTCATACCTTACCTTTCCACAAGGCCCTCTTGTTGCTTCTGTTCAGTATCCATGTTGAGCAGTTCTTTATCTTAACTTTGGTGCTCTTTACTGTGTGATTTTTGTAGCTTTAAAAAATATATATATTTTAGAGTCTCTTAACTGCTTTAGTTTTGTTTTTGTTTTCCAGTTTAGTTTTAAACTTCTAGGGCTTTAGGAACTGCCTTTTGTTATTGTTTATTAGAATTGAACAATTTCAGGATTCTAAAGAGGAAGTAGCAGCTATATTTTATTGCAGGTAAATTAAAAACCACTTAGGGGTGTATTTTGTTTCTACCTTATGTATTTCTTTGTGTTATTAATCTACTTTATTAGTTAATTGTAATCATTTAAAATTCATATATATATATATATGTCCATAGTTAAGTTGCTTATAAAAAGAATTGCATCTACAGCATCACAGTTCTAGTGCACCTTCGCCCCTCCTGCACTTATTATTGGCTCCCCAATTCCCCTAGGCCATCCCCCACCCCCAGATGTGCTGTTACACCAGTCATTGTTTCTATGCTTCTACTCTTTCTATGTTTCATAAACTAGGAAACGTAATAGAAACAATAAAAAGGGTGGGGGAAGACCATTGGCAATATTAAAATAAGTCAAAGAGAAAATTTCTGTCTTGGAACAATTGAGAAATAGTTAATACCAAAGCAAATTTAGAATGAGTCAAAAGAGAGGTCAACTGACCAGGTGTCCATATTATACCATAGTTCTGTCTACCATAATCAAGCTTACAGTAATCTCTGCTAGATATTAAGACTGTTTGAGTCCCTTGACTCTGGCCAGAGGGGATCTGCCAGGGGTTTGATCCAAATAGGTACTCTGCAGATGGATTGTGGACTCCCACTGTCCTCCATAGCCTTCGCCACAATTTAAGCTCTGGTACCTTTCCCCTCATCATCTTTGGATTTTGTTATTTGTTGTCTTTGGATCACACAGGCTGGTATGCTTCTTTGATGTGGACTTAGTTGAAGCCTCACTATAATGGCTCTTTGTTTGAATATAAGCCTTTAAGATCCCAAACAGTATTCCAGTTGATAGTTGAGCACCATCTGCTTTCTTCACTGCTGTAACACTCATCACTCATATCTTCAGTATCACTTCATGGAGGCGAGTGTTGAGCAGGGCCGTGTTCTTGGATTGGGGCTAGAATTGGGAGCCCAGAATCCATCTGCTTGTCCTTGGGTTATGTACAACTCTGGTTTATTAATCAATTCTAATATACTTCGAAATAGTTAAATTCTGTCAGTGCAAAGGACAAATAAAAATTATATGTCCTTCAGTGCAAGATATGACAAAATAATTTATAACTTATCAAGGGTTCATGAGGGAGAGGGGAGCAGGGAGGGAGGGGAAAAAATAAGGAGCTGATGCCAAGGGCTTAAGTGGAGAGCAAATATTTTGAGAATGATGAGGGCAATGAATGTACAAATGTGTTTTATGCAATTGATGTATGTATGGATTGTGATAAGAGTTGTATGAGCCCCTAATAAAATGATTTTTTTTTAAATCGTATGTCCTTAATATACCTTAAACCCTTATTTTTACTTTACTGTTATTTTTGTTGATATTTTGAGTGCTTCCTGAAATAGAAAGTAAACTTAGATTAGCTTAATGAGACTTGGGGAGAAAAAGTCTCTCTCAGAATGATATATAATAAGTACATTTAGGGGATGAATACTAAATGTTGCAGACTTACATGTTGTAAGTTACTATCAAATCAGAATAATATAATCCTGATGTTAGACTCTATTTGATCTTTTAATGGTTTGGTAGTTAAAGTGAAAATCCTGTTCCATTGCCTTCTTTTCTGCCTGTCATCTAAATGCGATTTTACTTTAATTTCTACATTCATTTCTATTTATGTTAGAGAGATCAACCTGCTTTCACTCCTTGTGGAATATTAACCCCTCAGGCCTTGGGTTCAAGAAATTCACCAGGTTCTCAAGTAGCCAATAATGCGAGACAAGCGGCCTATGAAATGAGGATGTACAATAACTCCGTAAGTGACTTTGCTAATGTGGCACTGAAAAGTGGTAAACATGCCTTTTACAATTGTATGTATATATGTGTGTGGGTGTATTTGTATTTTATTACTTATTTTTGCTTTTCTCAATTTTGTTTTCCTTGAGATATTTTTTTAACGCTGTTACATTATCTGTATCAATAAGAAATACTTAAACAATGTGCAAGATAAGTATGTTGAATGTGAAGATGCATTCGAATGTAGGAGATAGCTAAGGTGAGATAGCTAGGTTTTTGCATGTAAAGGTTTCCTTCACCCTCCAAAGATTCTGGATGATGCTAAAAACATGTAGGGGCTATTCATATGTCTCATATCTGGAGCAAGAGAGAAGGGTGGGTGGGTTTTGCTACATTGTTTCTCTTTTCCTCCCAGTGGTTAGTCATGACCATTGCAGAATAATATTTTTTAGTCTATAATAAAACAGATATCCTTCGTTGTTTAAACTCTTGTCATCCAACTCACATGTAAAATAAATCAAATTAATATTTTAAGATAGCCCTAATTGTGTCTGCTTAACCCTATCTGAAACTCAGGAACTGAATAGATCACCCCATGTTATTCCATCTTGTTAGAATTTTGCAATCCATACTCTGAAGCAATTTAATGCTTCCAGAAGAAATGTATCAGTTTACTGTTGTAGTGACAGTTTCATGATCTCAGTGCATATGGCAAAGAAAGCAGTGTGGAGGGAGAGAATAGATCATTAACATATACAGACAGCAGATAATGAAACTATTGCTTATTTCAGACTAGAAAGTAGTAGAGGGAAAAATGATAGTCTCTTGATAAAAAATTGCTGCAATATATCCAAGAAAAGTACATAAGCTTGAGTACTTAAATTTATTTATTTTAATAAACCTAAAAAACCCAATACTCTAGAGTTGATTCCAACTCAGAGAGCTTATAGGACAGAGTAGACTTGGCCCTTTGGGTTTCGAAGACTGTAAATCTTTATTGAAGCAGACAATCTCACCCAACGTGTAACCCATATAACAACAGGACTCCTTTTTATTCTAATACTTAACTCTATTTATGTCTCTTATTGTAGAACAACCCTACATGTGGAATTCTTTGTCATATCAGAAAATTGATTCAATATGTATTCACATAAATGTTCAACCAGAAGTTTTAGAACCTTTAGATTAGAAATTTTGAGAACTGAGCCTTTGATTATCGTGAAAGAAAACAGCTTGAATTACCATTGTATGTATGAGTGTTTTCTTACTCCTTATATTACTAAAGGTGGGATGCAGAGCGGGAACGAGAGGTGGGTTTACAGTGAGATAACTGGATACTGTAGAGGAGAAAAGATTGAATTAGTGGCCACACCCCTCCCTCCCCCCAGAAGAATTCACTTCAGAGAGCAGCACTGAAACTACAGCTCAGGGACAGGATGCCTCTGATCAGAGCACACAGGAGCAAATGAAGAGGGAAGGAGAGAGAGTGGAACACATCCTGGCCCACCAAACCTTGAGGACGATATTCCTGATCAGAGCATCCAATGCACAGTGAGGACCATAGGGTGGGCCCCACCACAGGACAGGACGTTCCCTCACTGACCATAGTGTTATGGGGGACAAAACTGGAGACATAGTGCGGAAATTGTGCCCAATCTGACCTCATAACACCAGGCAAAATGCTAAGGGTGTGCAACAGAGCAGCAAGGGGAGCAAAGAAATGAAGTCCCTGGAAAATACCAGAAATAAATTTTTGGGCCAGGGCATGGTACCTCATCAGACGCTACTGGAAAACACTCATAAAGGTCAACAAATAGATCTGGAACTATTTATAGGCTTTTCTTTTTTTGTGTTTGATATTTTGTTGTTGCTTTGTTTGTTTTGTTTTGTTGCCTTGTTTGCTGTGTCTCGTTTTTTATG